TGGTGTTATTCAGCAGTTCATTTTCCCCAAGCTCTTCATTCTTGTTTTGTTTTTTTCTGCAAGAAAAGAGGACAAGGATGTGCTGTGTGTGCAAAACACATAAGTTGGTGTGCAGCGGAAACAGGCAACAACTCAAAGTAACGTTCCTTTAGTGAATAGTGTGCATCTTGATTGCTTGTTTGACCTAGAGAACACTATGCAGAATGCTCTCGGTGTTATAAAATATACAGTGTTTGTTAACTGATTCTAATAAAATGAAAGGGAAATGGGAAGACTTTCCCCATCCTGCCTCGGGCTTCTTGGTGCAACAGAGTTTATATTCCCCGTGTTTTTCCACTTTTCTTCTATGAAATGAACAGCTGTAATTGAAAAGCAAGAAGCTCCATGGTTTATAGAGATAGGTGTTGTTAAGAGCCTTAGCCATCTAATTTTCTTCCTATTGCAGGGCAGGCTTCCTATTGTCTGTCCTTTAGAGCTAATTTCTTTTCTGATCAAAAGGCCCACATCATTGAAAAGGTAGTAATGACTATTCATTTGGTTGAAACCTCCATTCTGCAGCCCACAGAGCTTTATTTAGAAACTGCTATTTATTTATAAAAGGAAAACCTCATTTGTGTCCTCTATAATGTCAATTAAAGGAGAATATATTTTAATTATTTGTCCCGAAGAGAAACCTTTCAGGATCTCTATTTGCTGCTCCAGTGATACAGGCTGCAGTTTGAAACAATATACGCCTGCAAAATTGCATGTCAGAGAGGAGAAATAAGATGTGTTTTGATTTAATTTGCCACTCATTAATAGTTTATTTGCAGCTAATTAGCAAGTTCGAGTTTTGCAATTAATGCCGCATTTCTAATATGACTCATAAAAAAAAAAAAACAACACCTCACCATCATTGCCAGCAAATGAGGTGCGTTACTGGGTCCGAACAGAAAACGCTGCGGGAAGGATTCACCGAGTTATCGATGGGTTAAAAAAAAAAAAGGTGATTGAACGGGTTTGTTTTCCTGGAGAATGAGTTCTGCGACCAGCTGTCACAGGAGAGCGGGGGAAAGGGCCTGAGCGGGGACACCCCCAGCCCGCGGGGCTGCAGGGACACCAGCGGCAAAGGGCGCTGCGTGGGCACCAGAGGCCGCTCTGCTCCGCCCCGTGCCGCTGGGTGGAACCGGGCGGGACGCGGACGGGCTGCTGCTCTCGGGCAGAGGTGTGGGACTGGGAACGGCATGGGGAGCTGCACAAAGTTCCTGACCCCGTCTTTAGCACCGGGTTTTGTGCTCTTTTTTTTTTTTTTCCCCACTCGGTGTCTTTCTCGTTTCCGCCGGGCTCCTCAGCGAGCTCAGGGAAGATGTCCTGTGCTGGTGGTCCGCTGTGCAGCTGTTAATTGGTAACTTGGAGATGAGGGGTCTTATTAGCAATCCCCCCACCCGGCCGCATCCCTTCCCTCCCCAGAAGCCAACCCCATGAGGCGATTACCAGGAGGAGCCGTTTGTCAGAGGCTAATAAACAAATTCCTGGCGAACACCTGAATGAATGAGCGAGGGCCGGGAACAGCCTAATTAAGACACGGAGCTCCTGGTTGTTTTTGTGGCGGTGGAAACAATCCGGGCCAGAAAGGGTCTATTCAGCGGCGCTCCAAGAGGTCTGTTTGCAGCCTGCTATTGTTGGAAGAAGCCAAATAAAAGTTCAGCTGGGAGGAAAAAGTGATGAAAACCAGCATTTGCTGCTGCCTCCTGAATGCGCTGGGAGGCTCGGTTCAAAGGAACTGAGATGCACCCAAAAGGCTGTCTGGGTTTTATCCATGCTCATGAGATTTTTGGTTTTAAATGTTGCTGTTTATAATGTTGTCATCAAAGGTATCCTTCGTGCTTTGGGGCAGATGAGCAGCAGGGATGCTGCAATCGCTGTAGTGCTCTGCAGAGGGCACGGGTGAAGACGCAGAGGAGACAGGGGACCCATTTGGGGGTGTGGTGGTTTGTGCTCCCAGCTGGAATGGGAACTCGGTCCAAGGCAGCTCGAGAGGCTGATTTGATGTGACACCGCTGGTAGGGGAATAAAAATAATCCTGTTTCAATCTATTGAGATAGGGCTGCAGCACCAGCCCGACGTGACCCTCTTGAGAGCGGCATTACTGTGTGGAAACTTTGGTGAAATCTTAAGAGTCAGAATGCAGAAATACGCCAACCTTTCTTTTAAGCATCACACGGCTATTTTCAGGGAATCATCCAAGTGAGAGTCAGCAGGAACCAAACGAATGGGGCTCAGCTCCGCGTTCAGGCATGCTGTCAGGGCTGAGCTCGGTTGGTACTGATGCTCAGGGTCAGAGGGGATGTTTTAATAATGGGATTAAATGGGGCTTTTTTGGTGCATAGCATTGCTCTAAAAGCCAGGCACCTAAAAGCCAGCAACCTTCCCTTCCAAGAACCCCTTTCCCCAAGTTCTACAGAGCTGCAATTAACAGATATTAATGGCTATTGCTTATTAAGTGCTGATCACATACGAAGCAGATCTTCCTGTGTCAGCCATGGGTTTTCTTCTCATGTTCGAAGTGTGCTGTAAATTCCTGCTTTTGCCTCACACCCCTTTGTCACAGCAAAAAAAAAAAAAAAAAAAAAAAAAAAAAAAAAAAAAAAAAAAAGGTTAAAAACGAAAGCAGAACCGAGAGCTTTTCTGAGTTTGACAACAGTACTTCTGTACACGAGTGCCTCTGGCTCCCACTGGGCACCGGGTGCTCTCAGCCCCACATAGCATCCCCTCATCCCAGCCACAGCCGAGGAAGGAATTTAGGAAAATGGCTCCATCCAGGCGTGGTGCTCCTCAGCCCCGCTGCCAGCTCTCCTGCTTCTGCCCCTTCCCTGCTTGGCAGCAACTGTGCTTACGGGCAGGACTGGGGACAAGGCTGGGACTGGGATCGGACCTTTTTAAAGAGCTCGGAAACACGTTTTTGGAAATAACAGCTCGTATAGCGGCACTTGCCTCTCTTCCCCTTCCTTCCCTACTGTGTCTCAGTAGCGATCTGTAGCTTCCGCCCTTGGAGAGCGTCCCTTGCGTTAGCAGAGGGATGCCGGCGGCGGAAACACGGCTGAGCCTCACTTCTCTCTGCCGGGACCTGCGCAACCTCCCCAGCTCCCCTCCCAGGAGAATCCAACCGCAGATGCTTCCCCGGCACGCGGCTGGGGAGGAACGCGGCTCCGCGGGACAGCACAGCGCTGAGGGCGGCCTTCTGCCTCTCCTTCGAGAGTTCAAATCGTGGCAGAACCATTACCGAGAGGTAGAGGTTCCGAGCTGGGTGTCCTGCTCAGCCCCTTCTTCTGCAAGTAGAAAACGGCCGCGTTTTTAAGTTATGTCTCATCAAAACCGCAGAGCTGTGAGAGCACTTCGTGCACCCGTGAAATCTGGAAATACCGACCTATACTTACACTTATTCATCAGTGAGGAGATGAGTGATGTTTCAAGAGAAATATTGCCTGGCTTTTAATAACATAGACCGTGAGATGCTAAATGATGTGTCCGTTGGGAAAAAAACAATAGCAAAACATGCCAACAATGCAATTGACACCCGAGGCCGTAGGAAAACAAACTGAAAGACTAAATATGAGTTTGAAGCTTGTACCATTTATTCAGATGGCTGACATCGCTCGCAGGGCTGTCGGCCCCAGTTCCGTACCCCGCCGAGATGTTTGCGAGTACGCGTGCTCGGTCGCTCCGACAAACGCTCGCATCAGAACATTTTAGAGCGGCCAGGACACAGATCAGTCCGTGTCCCACCCGTGCCTGGCAAAGTTTAGCCTTGGACTGAGCGGTCAAAATGTTTGGACGAGTTTGAACTTAAACAGAGCTCTTCAAAACTCTCCCGATGTGCTGCAGAAGTTCCACCCGCGGCGCTCTTTGCGCGACAGCGCCATAAGTAAAACCCGCTGTCTCCCTGCAACGCATTCACTTCGTCCAACACTACTGAGCAACAAACCAGACAAAGCTCCTGTCGCACCACAGCTTGTCCTAGCGGCGTTATTTCCCTCACTGACTTTGTTCAGATGATTTTGTCAGTAAAGAAACGCGTACAAAACGAGCGGCAACTTTGCACTGTTCCGACCCACTCCGATAAAACCCCCACCCAGCACACCGTGTTGATTCCCTCCTTCCAGCACGGCCGTTTGTTTGCAGCCGGTACGTTTCGCGTTTCCCAGCTGGGCAGAGAACCCGACTGCTTCCCCGTGTTCTCCCACCGCCCTGCCAGTCAGCGCCGTTATCCTTATGCTCTTCTCTTACCGAGGGCTGCCAAGCTGCAGCTTTCCTCCTCGCCGGCCCCCCTGGACGGGACGGGGTGCCCAGGCACGTCTGTTCCGCGCCCCCTGCCCAGTCCCGCGCCCCTGGGGCAGTTTGATCGGAAAGCACTGGCGGTGATGGATCTCCGCTGGCAAAGGACAGTCCCGTGCCTCTGCCCGTGCGGAGCTGGAGCGGAACACGGCGGAAGGACGAGGAAGGAGGAAGAGCACAGACGGGCTGCGTGCCTTTCGGGAGCTCCCGGCCCCGGCCGTGTAGGTGCGGGCGTCCGCGCCTCCGAGGGAGGAAGGGGTGGAAAGGGAAGGGGAGGGAAGGGACGGAAAGGGAAGCCCGTGATTGACAGCTGCAGGGAGCTCCTCTCCGGTCACCCCAGCCTTCCCAAGTTTTCTTTCACAAGGAACTTCGCCGTTACCATGAAAACGGTTTTTACAAAGCACCATCCCCCTCCCTCTGGGGCAGCCGAGTGGAAAAAACTCAAGTGGCCGAGGTTCGGCGAGGAGTGGGGGACCGGGAGCGTCCTGCCGGCATCCAGCCTGGCCCAGCAACATGAAGGGAGGCACAGAGCTGCAGCGGAGCACCCGCCTGGAACCTGGACGGAGCGCCCGGCAGCCGCTCCTGATGCCGACGGGGCAGGGCGGCTTCCCTCCGCAGAGACCGCTCCGGAGGCGAAAGTTCAATTCTCTTCCCCTTCATTCGCTGTGCGTGTTACAGGAACAGCTGTTCGTATAATCTTCCAGCCGGAAAGCTCAGATTTCTTTGTGCACACCAAACTCGTGGATCCGCTCGCGGTGGTCCTCCGCTCTGCAACCCCAGCCCCGCCGGCACCCGCACGATCCCCGCTGCCCGCTCCGCACCCCGGAGAGTGCCCGCTGCAGGTCCAGCACCTCGGGCGTTGCGGCGGGAGGGGCTCGGTCCCAGCAATCTCCAAACACCAACTTTTTTGCCCATCCCCGTCCGCTCCAAACCGGCCCATTACCGGCGTTGGGGCTGTCGGGAACCGCTCGCTGATTGGCCGCCGCCCGCTCATTTATAGCCCGTCAATCAAATGCCCCCGGGAGAGGTGTGCGCATCGCTCAGCGCTGCCCGCGGGAGCCTCCGCTGCACTTCGGGGAGCGGCACGGGAAAGCTCCTTCCTCCTCCTGCAGCCGCCGCCCGGACCGCTTCTTTCTTTTGCTTTGATTATTTTGAACTTCCTTTCCCCGAGCTGTGCCCGCCCGTCTGCCACCCTGGCGCATCTCTTACCGGCCCCGGCCATGTACAGCATGTTGGAGACCGAGATCAAGACGCCGCAGCCCACGCCGGGCAGCACCGGGGGGAACCCGGCACCGGGCGGTAACGGCAAAGGCGGCGGCGGGGCCGGCAGCGGAGCGGGGGCCGGGTCGGACCAGGACCGTGTGAAGCGCCCCATGAACGCCTTCATGGTGTGGTCGCGGGGCCAGAGGCGGAAGATGGCCCAGGAGAATCCCAAGATGCACAACTCGGAGATCAGCAAACGCCTCGGGGCCGATTGGAAGCTGCTGAGCGATGCCGAGAAGCGGCCCTTCATCGACGAGGCCAAAAGGCTGCGGGCCGTGCACATGAAGGAGTACCCGGATTACAAATACCGGCCCCGGAGGAAGACCAAGACCTTGCTGAAGAAGGACAAATACTCGCTGCCGGGCAACCTGCTGGCCCCCGGAGGGGGCAACGCAGTGAGCAGCCCCGTCGGGGTGGGCCAGAGGATTGACACTTACGCCCATATGAACGGTTGGACCAACGGGGCTTACTCCCTGATGCAAGACCAGCTGGGCTACGGGCAGCACCCGGGCATGAACAGCCCGCAGCTGCAGCAGATGCACCGCTACGACATGCCGGGCCTGCAGTACAGCCCCATGATGTCCACGGCGCAGACCTACATGAACGCCGCCTCCACCTACAGCATGTCCCCCGCCGCCTACGGCCAGCAGCCCTCCACGGCCATGAGCCTGGGCTCCATGGGCTCGGTGGTGAAGTCCGAGCCCAGCTCGCCTCCGCCGGCCATCACCTCGCATTCGCAGAGGGCCTGCCTGGGAGACCTGCGGGATATGATCAGCATGTACCTGCCCCCGGGGGGCGACGCCACAGACCCTTCGGCCCTGCAGGGCAGCAGGTTGCACAGTGTGCACCAGCACTACCAGAGTGCCGGGACTGCCGTGAACGGCACCGTACCACTAACTCACATATAAACAAACTGGCCTCCTCCGGACGGCTCCTCATCGCAACCCCAGCACCGGGACGTGCGGCTCAGCAGACTCGATACTAACTTGGGAGAAATTTTAAACAGAAAATCCGTTAGTTGTCGTCTTTTTTTTCTTTTTTTCTTTTTTTCCTTTTGTACAAAAATGATTTGGGCAATCTGTTCTTTTAACAGAGCACGACCGCCTCCTAAAGCCCCGTGAAGTTCTTAAGCCACGGTGACTCTCCCGGTCTCCGCGGGGTTGGGCGTAGTTTTGTTCGCTTCCAAGTCTTTAAGATGGTGCATCTTCCCGTTCGTTTTTAGCGTTGCAATGACAAAACGAAAAACCGACTCGGCGGGTGTTGTTTCCAAACTCAGTTGTTCCGTTGTTTACATTTTCGTTGTGGTTACTGAAAGTGTTGTTCTTCCCACCTTGCCGAGTGCCGCTCGGTTCGTGTCCGCAATTCGTAGAGTTTTTAACTTTAGGGTTTTGTTCCTACGGAAAGGGGGCGGTGGGAGAGAACTGTGCGGGTCGCAAACCCTTTCTTTTATTTATAGCAAGTTGTGTGTCTGGGTTTTTCTTAAGCTGTAAACTTATGTAAATCGGTTTGTGAATTTTACTGTGAACTATGTTTTGACATATCAGACGAAGAAAAGTTTTAATTTTTTTTGTTTACCGAATTTCTTCCAAAAAAAAAAAAAAAAAAAAAAAGTGATCGAAAAATCTCCTTCCCTGTGCCTCGTTTTCTTCTATCTTTAAAACGAAGAGCTCTCCGTACTCTTTACACGGCATTTATGTGGGGCGGCTCCGCCGCTCAATGCTTCCCGTCCCGCACAGCCGCTCCTCGGCCGGGCCGGGGGCCGTGGATCGCCGTGAGACTTCGTAAATCCTCGGAGCCCCCGGGCCGTTCCCAAAGGGACCGCCGGAGCCGCGCTGCTCCCGCACGGCGGCCACTTGTTGCCTCTTCGGCCGACGGGAGGGAAGTGCTGAAACTCTGCGCCTCGCATCCTTTATTTTTTTTTTTATTATTTTTTTTATTTTTTTTTTTTCCTTCTCTGGAGGATTTGCCCAGAAGCCCAAACTCATCTGAAATATTTACGAAAGTAAAACCCACTGGGGAACTCTTAATTAGGCTCTATTAAAAATAAATGGTTACAGGAGTCCCCAGAGGAAATAAATAATTCAAACTTTTCGGTGTGTTTGACGAGTGTGTTTTGAGTCTGGACAGCTTTTATTTTCCTAGCAGCCTGCGTTACCGGGGTGCGTCGTTACAGACCGGCCCCGCTCCCCTCGGGCCGCATCCTTCCCGCAGCGCTCCGCATCCCGCCCGGCACCGGCGCTCCCGCAAAGCGGCAGTGCGCGTCGCGATGCAACTCCCCCCAATCCATCTTTGCCTTTCGTTTGATTCGAATGATGGTTTCTCTGCCTTTCTACGGAACGGAAGGGAAACGGAGGGTGTTTTCGCTGTTTGCTTTCGTTTTGCTCCCAGGGGCACCTCCGCTGCCGCTCACTGTCGAGTAGTGGAAGCCCCGTCCTCCCTGCCCGCTGCTTGCGGCCTCCCGGGCCAGGCCGGGTCGGTCAGGTCCTTCCTCCGGCTCCGCAGAGGGAAAACCGAGCGTTCTTCACTCCGCGCCGCCAGTCCCGTTCCCGGTGCGCTGCCCGTCTGCCGGCCTCCCGAGAAGAAGCTGCTGCGGTTCCGCAGCCTCGTGAGAGCACATGCGGCTGCTGCGCTGCTCTTCGGCACCTGTGCTCCCCACTCGGTGCGGTGAGCTGGGATGAGCCCGGGTAGCACGCACCCTCCTCTCGGCTCAAGAGCAGCCGCGCAGGAATCCAGTGTGCCTAACACTCTGTTCAGCTCCTTCTTAACGTTGCTGGTTTCATCTCTTGCAAACTGAAGGCTGTGTTTCTTCATGTTGGCTCTGCCATCCCTCCTCCATCCCCGAGGAGAAGCGACTCTGTACCCTGAGATAGAGAGGGGAGATGGGACGGGATGGTGCAGGTGGTGCTGCCGCAGTCCATGGTGCCGTGCAGGGGCAGCACGAGGTCCCGCAGCATCTCGGCGCCGGGTGAAGCTCTTGCCCAGAGCTCTCCCAACGGGCGGTGCCGGGGCAGCTCCGGCAGAGGAAGCGAGGCCATCCCGTTCCACCAAACTGCTCTCCCTCAGCATTTCCAGAAAGACGCACAATGGAAGTCTGACAAAAGCGAGGGCTTCTGGGCAGGTGGGCTGCTGCTGTCTCTGCTGCCTTCAGAGCTGAATTGCACCTGCATCACTCTTAAGTAGTTGCTCTCTTCACCTGAGCTCTCTAGAAGTGGATTCTCTGCCACGAAGTGAGAGAAACACTGCTCTTCAGAAGGTTTGCAGCACGTGAGTTCAAGTTATCCTCCTTTCTGTCAGGGCCTAAGGGCAGCTTCTCAACAAGTCCCTGAGGTGTCAGAGGAGATTCCTCTATTTACTGATGTATTCTCTGGGAGCTCATGTCAGTGTGTGGCATGCAAGTGCTTTTCCCAAGCAGTTAGTTTTGAGAGCCAAAGCCACCCTGCAGCTTCCAGCAACCTGAGGCTGAACTTTATCATAATTCTCCCTTTGGTGGATTGTGGGAAGCATTGGGAACAGGCACACACCTCTGCCTGGGGAGAGACCGCTGGTCCCATGAACCCATCAGTGCTCACAAACACAGCTCCAAACATAAGTGTGTTTTTTCCATCAGAGAGACATTACCTGAAAGGTAACTTCTTTTCTGAGACCACCATTATGTCCTTTGCTGGGACTCAAGGAATTTCCTAGGGAGCAAAGGCAGAAAATTCTAAAATTAATGAAGGTATGCTGTTTGTACTGCTACTGATTCCAAAACATGCAGTTTATTCCCGATGTGATGGGCATGCATCCTACATCTGTTAAAGCCAAGAGCCTTTTGAGCAGTGCTTGTGAGGGATTTCACACTCCTGCGGTGTGGGACAAAAGTGAATGGAGCCATGCTGGTGTTGGGGAGGGCAGGTGAGGTGTCAGCAGCAGCTCCAGGTGCTGCGCATCAGCTCCAGGGAAGGACCCTTCCCTCCAGAAGCCCACAGCACCTGGTGAGACAGAGCTGCCAGTGGGGTGCCCAGTTGTTATGTGTGCAAAATCAGAAGCAACTGTTTGCACAACTGAAACCCTGCAGCCTTATTCTGGAACACTTAGAATAGATGCAAGTGCATTCCTTCTCCTTAGAAATACTGAATTGGCAGCGGAGCGTTAGCCGTGTGTTAATGATGTTAACATTTAAGCATAAGGACAATATTTAGGCTTTTGTGTTCACACTTTCTTGAATGGAAGAGTGGGAGATCACCCTTGGCGCTTGTGTCAGGCTGTTGTAAAAACAGCAGCTCTGGTTACACTACGGTGGTTCTTTCCTTTACCAAAGACCATTAGAGATCATTTATGTCCAGCAATTGGTAAGTCAAAATATTTTAAATCAGACTTGTGAGGCATTATGATTGCAGTGTAAATTCAAGTAATCAGCAGGGAACTTTGCTTGTGAGAATATTTTTTAAACAATTTTTTTAGATTTCCTTTATTTTTTAATATTTTTTTGCTGTTTAAAGACATGAGTTTTAAAAAGGCATACGACTGACACAAGCACTTTGCGGAAGCTCTGATGCATCAGCGCTTCACTACATATACGTGAGGCTAAGAAGGTACACTTTCCAGGAACATCAGAAAGACAATAACATATCTAACCATCTCCCAGTGCTAATGGAAATAATGATTTCACAGGAAGGAAGAAAGCTGAAAAGGTGAAGTGATGCTTGGGACTGGATGCTGCTGCAGCAAGCAGTACCTGCAAAAGTTAGAAGTTCTGTGTGACCCCTTTTCTACTTACATAGAGCTCCCTCCTCTACTTACTGCAGTTGGCTCCGTGTGGTTTACATGGTGCACTCGGATTCTTTCAGTGATAATCCTGAAGTGACAAAAAGCAGGAATCTTAGAGAGAGATGTGGCACCTGGATTCATCTGCGTCACCATTTCTTAGGAAGGAGAGCTGGCTGTTATGGCAGTTCTGCTTGGATTCGGTCATTTAGTGATTAATACAGATAAAGTATTTCCAGAACAGTTTTCTACTGTGACTTTTCCTGGATGCAGTAGTGAATGCAACACAGTGACTTTTAATTCACAACAGAATGTCCTCTGGATGAAAAATTAATTATTCTTTGCTGTGAATACCATTCACAGTGAACTTCTTTGTGCTGCTGGTCAAGTAAACAGGCTTTCAGGTTTGCCTCCTTGAAAGACATCCTCAAAAGCTCTTTAGTCATTTTATACCTCAGCCTTCCAGTTTTTTAAATGAAATAATATACCTGCTTGGTGCAGCAGGGGAGCATAGCATTGAGTGTGTGAGTATGAGGGGAGTACCACAGTGATTCCATACTTGAATAATTCCATTCTTGAGATGTATCTTGGATTCAGAGATCTATCACTCATGCTATTTACAACTGTGTTATTTGCAGGATGCTCATCTGTATGAGAAATCTTTTACTGCTGTTAAGTTCAATTATCCTTGTTTATCCCTGTGCACTTCAGTTGTACATCAGCTAAGAGGAATCCCTCTGCCCACAATCTGGTTTAAAAGTGCTTGTGTTCATGTAACGGAAGTTTCAGATCCATCTCCACACGAGGAAGCAGTTGTGGGGCTTGACACATTACTGCCCCAGAGCTGTTTGCTCAGTTTCTCTCCTGGAAATCACTGCATCTCGTTCCATGTTTTGGCCATCACAGCTCACACACTGATGGCTCTGCGCAAATTCACCTCGGCTTATGGGGAGAAAAGAAGCATGAAACATAAACTAAAGCATAAGCTGCACTGCTTCCAATGAAATGCAAACTGAGCCAAGTTCTCAGAGCTCCAAACTGCTGTGTGTGCTCCACATGCACAGCAACCCAGAGTTTGATATGTATTAGGCATAAGGGGGGAACAGATTAGGAATAAGAGAGAAATTAAGCAATGTTAATAACTCGAGAGCTTCTGTCTTCCACTTTTCTGGGGCTTCTGATTGAGACTTCTGCCTTCTGTGAGCTTTTTTCTTTGTCTCCTTGAAGAATATTATGCGTCTTTTCTGTATAGGCCACAGGAAATAGCATAGCAGTGATTGCACCCAGCCCTCAGGATTTCCCCTTTGTACTGGAGTCAGCTTATTCATTTCATGCACATCATTCACAGCTTGCTGCACTGATTTCAAAAATTCTATACATCTACTTGACAGAAAGGGGAGAGACAGAACATCGAGGTGGATGCAGTTCAGGTGCATCTAATGACCATTCTTCAATATCATTTGCAAGGGAAGGAATCCTATAAGTCAATGGGAACTTGGCCCATTCAGAGTTCAGAATCTGGCACTTGACACTGATTTCATTTTCGTTGTACTGTGCTGTGCTGCTGAGTCAGAAAAGCAAGTTAAGAAAAGGACTTTTAATCTAAATCACTCTTTTTTTTTTTTTTTTAATCCTTTAAGATTCATCGAGAGATTCACATTTTGTAGCCTGTAAACAGTACATACGTGATAGCAACAGATCCTTATAAAAAAGTAAATTATACATTCACTATTGGGCAAACAGAACCTTTCTTCAAAACTTTAGACTGCTAAACAGGTGAACATTTGTGAAACAGATGAGGAATTTCTATAAGCATACCAGAGGTGGGACAGTAACAGGAATTAACTGTCATGCTCTTAAAGTAAAAGGAAGTGAAGGAGTTGAATGTGCTAAGTGGCAAACGTGTGTGCCAAGGCAGTGCTGTGCAGTCTCTCAGGCATCCAGCAGGTCTGCAGGATGCTGCAGTGAGGATTAGCCCTGTCTGCATTCCCTCAGGGAATGTCCTAAGTACAGCTGAGAGGTTTTTTCTGACTTAGTCTATGTTGCGCAGAGCATGCAAAGTTATAACAAAAGGGTTTTATAAACTATTTTCAAGGAAGGGACATTAACTTCTTGGAAGTAATTTTTTTTTTCAGTATGTCTTGTGCTCTTTTTCTCCCAATAGATTTCAGTCTGCAATTGTA